TTACTTTGAATTAGTATGTAAATCTACCTTGCACTAGCTATCCAGATTAGCAACGCCTTTTTAGGGACCACGGGACCGGTCTGCCGCCGACGTGTAACTGTTGTCTAGTGCAATCAACATCGCAAGCTCTGCCACCGCTGATGGTATCGTCGATTGTCCCCTCTTATGTCCTTACTTAACAGAATTATTAAAACATTTATGGTACAGTGGTACATTCAATGGTTACTTATTTGTTAAATGATTTATATTGCACTATTGCGAACTTGATAAGATTGAACATTTTTTCTCTACATTTACGTACAAGTCGTCAAGTTTTACGAGTCTGAATATATAAATAATTATTCATGCAATTTGTTCACATGTACATGATATGCACTCAATGATTACAGTGCGAATACATCAATACTTAATTCATATTATTTACAGACAATAATCACCACATGATTGCACTATCACTTAAATACTGACATGTTTGGCAGACGAAGCATTATTGAAAGTTCAACTGGCCTAGACCTGACAAAAAAAAATACAGTTCATACGTTTTGTTTACTTATGAAATGTATGCACACAATGCTTATAACAGGATTAAATTAATGCTTGAAGTATCCATTTTATACACACAATTGTTTCAACAGCGTTATACTGCTGCCTAAATATGCATACCTACTTTGTTCCCTTATGCAGTGTATGCATTCAGTTGTTACTAAAGCATTGTCTTGATGCTAGAATTTTATATATTTTATATACACATCGGTTGCATCATGATAATAGTAAGGCTTAAATAAAGTACTAAACTAATGCCTAAGTGATAAAGCTACATACTTGGACAGGAAGAGCAATTACATCGTTACTGAATTATACATTACATACACGCAATAGCTACAATAGGAATGGTTGTTGTTTACTTTACACTGAGTAATATGCTTATCTGCTTGGGCTAGGGGGGGGGAATTAAATTGAGTGCGATATAATTACATGTTCATTATACTTGCCCTTTCGTTGCTTAAAAGATTCAGTTCATGCGCTTAGTTACTTTTTAATGCATATTCACGAGCAGGTTTATTGAGAATTCTTCTATGCTAAAGTTGAACTTAGAATCAACCAATTGAGCATTTTAACCGATAACGTTATTCATGCATATTTGGTAGTTGGTTCAAATATGTTGTATTATACACTTTAGTTATTGTTGAGATACATTAAAGCAGTTGTGATTTTATTCATATTATTTCGCTAACTTGCTGGTATATTTCGCTGCTTCATACCAATATTTGTCGTGTGAAAAGGTGTATTTTCTTGATGAAGGAACCAAGAAGAATAGTAAATTTGTAGAGTCGTGCATCGCATATGATATATTAATTTATTCATAACTAGCGGAAGTACCTGATGCCGCTTATGTTATATTGAAAGTGATGTATCTAACAACAGAGAGAATGAACGATTCACAGTCATACATTTTTTAACCTGATGCGGTATGGAACACGCATACAAAATGTCGATATAAAAATAAACTAATACTTTCTCATTATATCAGCAAAAATGGCACGCAGTTTTTAATGATTTTCGTCTTTCTAGTCAAATGGTCGTAAAAGTTCAAGTTCCATCGAATATTTCACCTATATTCAATTTTAGTCGATTAAATGTGACACAAAACTGATCATAATTGATTAGAAATCAATAACGCGAACAAACACACAGATATTCTTCTTTATATATACAGATTTTGTAAAATTTACAAATTTTTGATTAACAAACTCTAGATTTGAAATTGGAGCATTAGCAAGCCTTTTCGAAATAAAGCATTTTTATCTCCAATGCGCAAGACTGTTGCCACTCTGAAAAATTAGTCTAGAAATTAGTGTTTTCAGAGTTTTTAATTAATATCTAGGTTGTTTAAAGTCGTACGAAGATGGGGACAGTCGAAATGGCTCACCACGAATTTTTGTTAAAGGAATCGGGAATGATGCATTTAATGTTTGGCAATGCTATTTTTATTTCATTGTAAAACTTGGAATCTTTTATTAAACAAACTCTAAGATTTGAAAACGAGCACACTTCTCGAAATAAAGTAGATTTTTATTTTCAGATCTCCAGCGTGTGACACTGCTGCCACTCGGAAAAGTGAGGGCAAAAATTAGCGTTTTCAAAGTTTTTAATTGACATCTCTGAATTTAGCTATATTTTTGGAAAAAAGCGGACGTTAACCTTTTCCAAGACCTAGGAAAAATTGTAGAAATTTTGGTGACGATAGCTATAGTAGTGACTGAGTTAATCTCGAACAAACACACAGATAATCTTCTTTATATATATATATATATATTATATATAATACAGTGATGTAATCTTTCTGAGAAAACAACTGTTGATATAACCTCCCTTTGTCTTTTTTCTGACACGATTTCTTTAACTTCTTTCTTCTGACACGATTGGTAATCTTTTGATAACTTTTTGAAACTTTGAAATTTGAAAATATATTGATTTTCCTTTGTATATTGATTTTCGTGTTTATGCCCCATCCATTTTCTTGTATTATCCGTAGATTTGCTACTATTTTAAAGATTTTATTTTTGACATAATCGAGATGGTCCACAAAATTTAATTTATTATCGATATTAATGTCGAGATATTTTACAGATTTTAACATTTCTATTTTTATATGGAATTTTGGGAGAATTAAAATCTTCTGCAACGGCTTGTTGAAGATAGCTTCTTGGGAGGTTTCGAAAGGTATGATTAACTTTTGCTACTTACATAATTCGTTAAAGATGTTTGATGTGCTATTTATGATATTCTGATAAATTTTAATTTTATAAATTAATTATATTTAATATAATTATATTTTCTGATAAATTTAAATTTTATAATATAAATATGTATTATAAATATATATTTTGATAAATTTTAATTCTGATAAATTCTATCGTCTCAAGTTCTGCCACTGTCATCAAAAACCGTATCTTCGGCGCAGGCAATGCAATGAGCGATGATCATTTGTATTGGGTAATTTAAATCAAACGCCAGATTCCAGACGTCTTGTTATTGAAGATAATAATGCATTATTTAAATTAAATACATTCTCTGTCTATAAAGTATCTTTGGAAGGTTTCGTAGATATATTTCGGACATCAGATGTCCCGAAGTGTGCCTAAAACCTCAGGCACACTTCGGGAATCAAATGTCTTTCGTCCACAGAGGTACAGAGTGTACGTCTACAGAGTGTATCGTCTACAGAGGTGTACGTTCAAATGTCTACAGAGAATCAAATGTCTTTTTAAAATCAAAATAGAGTAACACCGGACACAGATTTTGGGATTGTTACTGGAACTTTTCTCTGTTTTCTTTCTTAATGGGACGCCTTAGGAGATTTGCGAGGGCTTTCTCAAAGATTTTGCTCGGATATTTTAATTAATTAATATGCCAGAAGGAACCTGTGTGCGATGCAACTTCTCCTTTCTTTTTAAAGAAAATAATTACAAGCTCACAGGGAAATAACTTGTTTGCATTAACAAACATATATTAAAGGTTGTCAGTATTACTGTTGGAAATTGTTCGCGAGGGATTTGTATCAGAGTGTTATCGATTTAATCCTGGCCTAGCCCTTTTTTCATTGACTATTTATTTGACTATTCTAGAGATTTCAAAGTCGGTATATCGTCTGTATGTGGGTGTTGGAAGTTATTTCTTCTTTCTTTGTGTAAAGCTGAGTCAATATGCGGGAAGTCGCTGAGGAATGCAGTATACATTATACTTTTCTGTGCTTGTGGTATTGTATATTGATTGCGGAATTGTAATTTCACCTGGGCGAAAAACTTTATTTGAGCAAATCTCCTAAATGGGTCGATAGGGATCTTTTTTGTCTATTATAATCTTTCCTCAGCATTTTAATTTCGCTTCTCGGGTTTCTGTTTTGTATATCGCTCTTTGTTTTGTGAAGATCAGGTATGCATTTGTCCTTTTGTTTTCAGAACGTGAGTTATTTATTCTTCTTTTTAAGGCTCTGATTTTGCTCCAAGTAGCTCTTAGTGCAGCTGTCCGTCAATTAATCCTTTTCATATGACTTTGGCTTTTGACTTTAAATGACTTTTCGGAGGCATTTCGCATTGTTTTTTGAAGGGATGTTATCATATGCTTAATTTGGAATTCATTTTCGAAGATTCTGACATCGTTTGATATTGAATTATATTTTTTATCTTGATTTTGTAATTTTTGAAAACTTTTGCTGAAAATTTTAAGGATAAAAGTTCGATTTCTAAGGAGATAAGTTTTTATCTCATTTTTCTTCGTCTTGTAGTTCAGGCTACTGATGTATATTTTGGGCTATTGGGTATTTCACAAGAATGATATCCGGCCATCCTGATCTTTTAGTTATTTGAAAAGTTTAAACTACTGTTAGGTTACTATTAGATTACTATTAGGTTAAAAATTTTGATAAGATCTTCGACTTCTGTGCTCGTCAAGTAGCGAAATTTCACTGTTCGAATCTGGCAATGTGTAGACAGACGACGACGACTTTTGCAAGAAGTCATTCGTAAAATTTCTTCTCCCAGTAAAAGCGTACGTTATACTGTACAGCTGCAACAAGATATTATCTCTTTGTTCTTACTACTGTATTTTTTTCATTTCAAAATCCGCCCACCAGCGGTCGATCGGTAAAGTCGCTGAACACTGGTAGTTCGGTCCGAGGTTCGAATCCCGCGAACGGGCTGACTGCATGGGTGCTTTCGTGGTTTTCCCCATGTGTAACGTGTATACGAGCCAGTTTCCCTTAGAAAATCCTCAACGAAGGCCTCCCTTAACTTCGGCAGATAGCCCTCGAGGCTTTGCCGTAATTAAATAACCTAACCATTTCAAAATCCAGTAAGTTTTTCAGAGTTTATGCAGTACATATTAAGTAAACTAATACATGCGTATATACATATTTAAATTAATCTCTGTAGGAGTTAAAGCACTAGCATTATGGTCTTGTTTCAAAATTACAAATGTATAAAGAGTGCAAAACTAACCGACTGGGATTCTAGTATATCTGGTTCGAAGGTGCTCATATCGTCCGGACAGTTTACTTTAACAACTCTGTCCTCCTTGATCCATGCAATCGAACATGGCATCTGAAAATATAGTTTTAGATAATAAGTATTTTCATATTTTCATATTTACAAAAACATCTGATTAGTGCGTTTTCTGTTCAATATACATTAAAGCCGCAGAACTAGTTCAATTGCTTGTAAACTTTTAACGGTCATCACACCGTATAAAATAATACTACGAAAATAATATAATTCAGACTGTGGAGCTTTTCTGCATCAAAAGGCTAACATAATACATAAGTTAGTTAATGCTTATTAACCAATCATTATGATCTAAGCCTTTACTGTAAGTTTTTATTTTCATAGTCTCCACCAGAATGCATCAGTTGCTTTGTGTATTTAAGCTTAGCGTCGTGAGTATCTCTGCCTAAGTTGTATTCCGGATTTAGCCTCTTGCTAGCCGACGTTTAAAATACGCGCCATTAAATATCTGCGGCAGCTCAAGTAACCTAGTTTATGCGCATTCTCATATTTTGTTGCCCAGATTTGAAATTTGAGGTTCTGTTATGTTAATTTAAATATCCGCAAGTCGCGGAGGTTCATCTGTCGCACAAGCTGTACTTTTCTTTTCGTTTCAAAGTTAACAAAAAGATATTTTAACCTTCTCACAACTTTGAGATTTGTTCCAGACTAAGGAATAACTCGCTGTCAGTCTAGTAGGATCTGCAGGGATTTGACATAAAGTTCTAGATACAGTAAAATACTATAAAAAGTGATTTTCACGTTTATTTTCATAGCTATCTTATTTTAACAGGTAAGAGTTATAAAGTAATACGTTTTGAGTTTAAAGTTTCTGAAACAGTTTATTTAGGAAATAAATTTATAACGCAGTCGTCTTTTTTCTTAAATAATAACTTTTTATTTACTGAATTCGTGTGAGTAGATCTAAAATGGCTTAAAAGGCTAAGTGAATTGTTTCGAAAATTTGGTTGTAAGGAAGTTGTTTTTCGAATAAACACATTCTTTAATTAAGAAAAAATGTCTTGGAATTATCAGTGATGGCAGAAATAACTGATCTCAAACTACAATGTGGAATTAAAAGAATAATGCAAAAGGTCTTCAAGGAAAATTCTTCGGCTTTAGATATAAAACTTCACAACAATCACCAAGTCAAAAAAATTCAGTTAATTTCAAAAAAGAGAGTTATAATTTTCATTTAAAAATAATATTTAAATTATTTCTTAAAGAAAGATAAGAGTTATTTTGCGTCTGCTAATTTTGTGACTAAAAGAAGGTAAAATGACAGTAAAAATATTCATTTTAACAGTGACTGTGATTTCAAACTGGATTATAGGATTAGTATCACAGTAGTATGCAGGAAATGCATTAAAATGTTCATTATAATTTTCAAATTGTGCTATGTGTTTGTAAAAATATTAGTGCCAAGCTGACAATTCCCCTTACTGAGTTCAATAAAATAGTTAACTATCTTCCCGAGTTTTAAATATAGTTTCATAAAAAAGACCCCCAATGAATATTGCTTTCCGATAACGTATTCTTCACAGCCCTGTTTTTACTGCGTTCGCTTGTCTTCAAAATGCATGTGGGAAAACTCATAACAGAATCGTGGAAATCGCTGTGAAGAACAAAATTATTACAGCAGTGAATCACCATTTTAATTCTGCCATTTTCTATGAACTTACTTAAAAGACTAATATTATGAAAATTCTTTTCAAATGCCCTAACTTAACTTCAGAAATTTTCCAAGATTTGTGAGGCTGAATATTTTACGTCTGATATCATGTGAAATTGATAAAGGTGCAAGGGATAGATTTATACTGATAAAAAAGTGCATTTTATCATTGTTGTTTTTGGTTTCAAATAGGAGTTAGATTTATACCTATCAAAGATAGCTATTATTATTATTTTTATTATTATTATACTTTTGGGGGGTGTTTATACCAGGCAATGATGAATATTATAAATATTATAGTTCGGGGGCTTAAATTGAAATTTTCCGTGTTTAAATTCTAAAATGTGGCATTAAACTGAATCTTTGCCATGAATGAATTCCTAAATATAGATAAGATTTAATTTTTTAAGAGCTTTGTTTGGTTGAATCAATCTTAGTCATTATTTTTTAATTATGTTTGGCTGCATATCTTCATTTACTTTAGTACTGTATAAGAATTTTTATTTAGTTCCATTATTTAATTATAAGAATGTATTATCATACATTAGACTTTAAATACATTTAGTTTTGTACTTTTATTTATTTTTATGTTATTATTCGGTTATCAAAAAAGCAATTTCAGTGTTTTAGCCTTAAATAAAACTAAATTTGTTCTATGCAAAAAATTAACTTTAATCGGTCAAATATCTTCCATTCTATTCGAAGATCTTTTTCTATCTTTCCGGTAACTTCATGAATCTAGGCTGTTGCAAGTTCTGGTCTTAAAACGAAATAGCATTAACCACGTGATGTCACCATTATTATTGAAAATCTTTTCCATTGAAGTTCTGTAAACTTCGAAATAAATGATAATCCGCTATTTATTTTTGCTAACGAATTTTATTCTTGCCAACCCATTTTTCTTTTAGAATTACTTAAAAATATATAATGAAAAACATTTAATTTTTAATATTATACATTGCAAATAATTTTCCCCTTCTTTACCACGTATATTTTTGGTGTAATTGAAAGCAAGCAATCGGGAGGTTCGAAGTTCGATTCTCACGAGGGTATACTGATTTTTCCACGTATCCCGTTGGAAAAAAGATTCTAAATAGACAAGTGGCTAGCGAACTAAAATGTAGTGGACGATAATTCTTTACTACTGGGATTAGGCAATGGGTGCTGTTCTCCCAGTCACCATTTAAGTGGGGAAAGTGTATGGAATTTTCTTTTTTCTTAGTGCCTGCCTTCTTGATGGAATTAGAAACACCTTCAGGACACTGCTCATTTTTCTCATGTTTCCTGCTTCGAAAAGCGTAACAGACACACATATACACTGGTTATCATAAATTAAGGAAAAATCACAAAAATAGCGATAACTCCGTCAAAAATAAGCCAAACCGTGTAAAATTTGAATATGTTGCCAAGTAAGAGTAGCTGAATAAAACTGCAATATGCAAATTAGTGGCGCTGCAATCGGAATACGTCATCTGCGAGGAGAATAAAAGTCCATGTTTGAGAGCAAGCCCACATATATCACTGTGATAGTGACATCAGAAATCTGAGATAGCCAATTCGTAACAATGATCTGCAGGCATCATTTGTCGGCAGAACTACGATAGAGAGCCATTGGGAGACTAGAGGCAGGATAAAGTCAAACAGAAGTGGCCAGATGGCTAAATGTGAGTCCTTCTGTGGTTCATAGATTTTGTAGGCGATTTCAAACCACAGAGTCGGCATCTAGGAGGTTCATCCAAGGACGGCCAACTGCTACGACGAGTGCCGATGACCGATATTTGACATTATGTGCACGCATGAATAGAACCGCTACTCCTACTCTTCTTAGATCCTCCCTTGCTGAAGCCACCGGAAGGTTGGTGTCAACGTCAACTGTGCGTAGAAGGCTTCAGGAAGGTGGTCTGTATGCGAGGCGACCAGCCATTTGCGTGCCGCTCACGTCACGCCATAGGAGGTACCGTTTGCAGTAGGCACGACAACATGTCCACTAGAAGCCTGATCAGGGGAGGGCTGTTCTTTTTACGGAGGAGTCCACGTTTAGTCTAGAAAGCGATAGTAGGCGTTATTTGATATGGAGAGAACCTGGAACCCGTTATCATCCGTCAAACATCCGTTAAAGAGATGCATACGGAAGAGGTAGTGTCTGTGTTTGGGGTGGCATCTCTTTGGGTGGACGCACAGACCTCCATGTCTTTCCAACGGAAATCGTGAATGCTCCGGTTTATAGAGATGACATCCTTGATGCTTATGCGCGCCCATGTGCCGGGACAATAGGTGATGCTTTCCTGTTACAGGACGATAACGCAAGACCACACAGGGCTCGCATCGTAGATGATTATCTTCAACAGAAAGCAATTATGCGCATGGAGTGGCCAGCTCGATCCCCGGACTTGAATCCTATCGAGCACGTTTGGGATGCTTTAGGGAGACATCTGCTCTCAATCCGCACCCTCAGACCTTTGCCGTGCTTGCAGCTTCTTTGCAAGAGCAATGGTTCTCGCTTCCTATGGAACTGATAGACCGCATAATTGAAAGCATCACGCATCGCTGTATGTGCTGTATTGCTTTTAGAGGCGACCATATTCCATATTGAATGTACTTTTTCTGTAGCAAACTGACACCTTCGATTTGTTCATTTTATTCATGTGCTAATTTCTATACTACCATAATTGTCTGGTAATTTAGTTTTATGTTATTTATACCTTACTATATTGTGGGTAAGTTTTATAAAATTCTACATGTAACTTTTTCAGTAATCGTGATTTTTGTGATTTTTCTTTAATTTATGATAACCAGTGTATATACACATACACACACGTACATATGTATAATATGAATAAAATTGGGAGAGATAGAGAACAAAATATTTTTCCTCTTACTTCCTTCACTTCATCTTTAAAAAGGAATTTTAAAACCACTTGGTTACGTGGAAGCTGACGGTTCCACTTGCACCAGAAGAAGTCACATTTTTTGCACAATAATGACATCGTGATATAGATCTCGTTTTCCAGTTTTGATATCTGAAAACATATAATACATTTTTATTAATCAACAGCAATGCTTCCTTCTGTACATACAATTACAGCCTTGGATAAATAGCTTATTACTACATATCACAGTCACCTGCAGTTTATTTTCCATTTCTTTTTAACTAGCTTGCCTCGTGGTAAATCTCCGAAACGCACTCAAAAGAGAAATTATTAAAATATTTGTAAGCAAATCTCTATGACATCTAAAACTCATCGTGACAAATGTGTATAAAATATGACTATTTCCTTAGAAGTTTTTAATTCGTTGTTAATAATAATATTTTTAATGAACGATAAATATCCCTCTCAAATTGTTGTGGATGTAATGGTACGTTCGTTGTTAAACCATGTTTTTTTTTCAGTAGATATTGTAGCATCCAAAACACTAGCTTAACTCTTAAGTCCGCAAACTAATCAAGCTTGCGACTGGTTAATTCAGAGAGTTACACGTAAGCATTAGTAAGGGCGCAGTAAGTTCAATGTGGTTATTGGTGGTGGATTGTACTTATTGGGCAGTTTTCTTTGTACCTGATACTTCTAGTTTATTGTTTGCATTTCTTGTTGAAAAACGAAATTTCTTCTTGGACTCAGAAGCATCTAAATATACCGCATTGCTTAAAGTGATTGAAAATTTGATCGGAAAATTAAAACAGAATCTGATATTTTAACATTGTTGGAAAACTAATTACTTTTCAAAAGTTTTAGAAATGTCAACTAAACAATAAAATAAAGTTATTTTAAATAGATTTCAATTCTAAAATATGTCTTGAAAGATTAATCACTGGCCCACGATTTGCTAAACTAAACTATGAAACAATTAATTTTCATTTACTTTGAGAATTTTACAGCTAATGCATTAAGGTTTGGTTTGCTTTATTTGATTATGGCAAAGCACTTAAGGGCTATCTGCCTAAGAATAAGGTGTCTTCGTGGAGAACTTTATAAGGAAAATTTGCTTGTATGCACATTACGTATGGGGAAAACCACGAAAACGCCCATACAACCAGCCCGTTTGCCGGAATTCAAACTCCGAACTGACTTACCACTGCTCAGTGACTTTACTGAACTTCTGACGAACTCTAATGCACTAAAGGTTGAAAAACGTATATTATTTTCAACAATACAGTTCTTTGAAATCTGTAATGACTTACACTTGACAAGTAACATATTTGCGAAAAGCAAAGAAAAAGAGGCATATGGATTTTTTAATCAAAGTGCTTTCGTTACAGTTTAACGAATTCAAAATGGTACTCCTGATAATCTGAAACATTTCTGCTATTTTGACTCCACTTCTTCTTTTCCTTTACTATTTCTTTTCGATTACGAATAATGGTAAATATATTATAATAATTAATACCAGGATAATATGTTCTTTTTTAGAAAGTTGGAAGGAAAATAATTAAAACCAACATTTTCGTTCTGTTACTTGAAATGTATTATAGGAGTGAATAAGATAGGTGCTTCATCTTTTAGAAACGTCATAGAAAGTATGGTCAGGTTAGTTTCAGCAAAAATAGTAGATGGAGAAAACAGCCGAAAACGTTTAGAAACAGCCGAAAACGTTTTAGAGAAGTTTCTTTAAATGCAATATATATACTCAAAAAAAAAAGATTTTTTTTCGTTTTGATTTTGACATGTCAATCTTCATGAATCTGTATTGAGTTATTTAACTTGAATTTAGCCAGTGGATAGATTCAGATAGTCCTATATTATATGTTTCATGCTTTCAAAAATAACAGCAGTTGTATAGAAACTGTATATTCTTTCCAAATTGAAAATAGCATAATAAAAGAGACCTTTTGGCGATGCATACTAACTATACTTATAATCTGTTACGTTACAATTGGCATATTGAAGCCATTTTCCTTCTTTTGACTTTTCTTGTAATAATGATAAAGACTGCTGCGGGAATAGTTGAGTCTTTTATTTGCTAAAATTCACTAATCTCTTCTGCATGGTGATTGCTACACAAGTTATGATCGTAACAGAACGAAGATGCGCTGCGAACTTGAAATTCCTATTTTAAAGTTACAGATACAGATAGTAGATGTATCTGTAGTAGCTGTAGTTAATGAAATAGCAATTAATTAACATATAATAAATGTAATTATGATTGTTCATAATAATTTGTTTCTAATCAAATGTGTTCTTTTTTATAATTTGATTCAATGTCACTCCTTTTAACCATATTTTGTATTGTTAATATGACATTAAATTTAACCATTTATGTTTCGGTAAAATTTAGATTAAAAGTGAGGCATTTTCTAAATTTTATGGTCAGTATCCTCGAACTTGGAGTGCGTTTTCTATTATTGCATTTCACTAAATAGCCATCAAACTGTCTTATATAGTTAATACTCTTCGAATAATGACTAACAACTTTCTGAAGTTTCCAATTTATTTAGTTTGATTGTTTCATAATGAGGAGCATTCTATAAAAATTAAAAACCTTTTCTGAAGTTTGTAATGATTTCACTGCCAGGAAAATTCTTACCTTGGGAAGAAATCCTAAAACTTCAGATATTTTCTTCTCGGCCGAAATATTTATGCCTACAGATAATAATTTCTGGAACAAAGAAAGTATTTTTTAATATTTATACATGTTAGGGGTTTGTATCTAAAAGATGAAAAATGTTTTACACCTTTTGTAAAGAAATATCTAGTAAATTTTCAATTTTCATGTCTTAAGACATTTTGTAATAATGTATTTGAAATAATGGCACATTTAAATAAAAGTATGGTATCCCAACACAAGCATCAATTCCATTTAAAAAAATTATTTTCTTAAATTTATAATTCCAATATGAGAATTACTAAGAGTATTTAGTCATTATTTTTACTTTGAATGAGCAAGAGATAGCACGATTTGATAACAGAGGGAAATCATTAAATTTGATTTTTAGGGTGAAACAATCTGCAACTTTTTAATTTGTAACATTTTATAATAGTCTAAGAAAACCTCGCCAAAGTAAAATTTAATAGAAAACTAACACTCCCTTAGATTGGCACGTATTTTGAAGAAATCTTCCAGTCACCTTTAAGTTAGCTTGCACCCTTTTTTAATTAAAGCGCAAGCGACTTGTTTGTTTATCTGGCATTCAGCTGGAGATAATTTACAGGATGCATTAAGTGTTGCTTATACTTGACTAGGCTTTCTTTACCTTACTTTTTGTTAATTTACTCTGTTTATAATTTGGGTAGTGGCAAACAAATTATAATTTTAGTTTGTAAGGTTTTAAAAGCAGTAAATTAACTTTTAACTATTTACTGAGATATTACTAACTAGAGCACAGACAACTAATAGCAATGAGGATAGCTCGTATAGTTACATAACGATCATTATAATGCAGACTTACAAGATTTTAAGTTAATTATCTGGTTGTTAAGATCTGAATCTTTATTTTAACTTCTTCTCTCTGTTGTCCTGGCCCGAAGGCAAATTAATTGTTTGAATATTTAAGTTGAAGGTTATAAACATTTTAGAGTTTTTGCACCCTCGCTTGCAAATCATTCTTATCGCTAGCTCTGCACACAGATTATTCGGACTGTAGCCCGTTTTGCTAACCGGCATTAAAGCGCAAAGTTTATAATATTTCACCTAGCTTAAGTAGAGAATTTTGCATAATCTCCGACTATATTACTCTTTGATTGAATTTCAGCTTATGATATTTTAAATACCAAAAGGCGGTGTTTTGTGTATACACATAAGCGTTGCCTTCTGTTTAATTTTAAAATTTAATAAAAAGGTTGACCTCAATTTCAGATTGGAGCTATAAACAGCTTATGTGTCCCACAGGGTCTGAAGCTCGTCAGAAATGTAAGTAGCTTCTCAGTCTAGTTGGGTATTGAGTTAATCTTAAAACGCAGTACCATACAAACATGATATTAAAAAATGCTATGGTGAAAACGTACTACAAAACTTTCTTTTTTGGAAATGATTAAAATAAAGGTATGAAAAGATAAGTAAAGGGAATGTTTTATTATTATATTCGTTGCTCTCCATAAATTCCCAGAATCATTTATTGAATAGTGAGTAATTCATTTATTGAATTCATAAATTCACTTATTGAATAGTGAGGCACTAAAAATAGGCTTCTGATGTTTCTTAAAATTTAAACCTGTGTTAACGCAGAAGTGAAGTGACGCCAAGATCTAATAGGAGTATTTTTTAACTAGAGGGATCTGGCAACTACGAGTGAGAAAGAAAAACGTGGAAAGCTAGCGGCCTTTGAGAGAGTACGTGCTGGTAATTCGGGTTTGTGAAATGCATGTTAAAGTGTGGATGGCAAGAGTGTCCATCCGAGCAAGAATACATAAGTTCTCATATACGAGTATGTGTGTATAGTTCTGTTAACAGATGTAATAGTAAAATTTCTACAGTTCATAAAATTTATTTGTGAAGTTCGTAAATATTTGTGTGTCTATTTCTTTTCTTTCTATCCTTAAATCCTTAAGCTCCCATTTGTTCTACTCTTTTACCTGTATTTTTGCTTTTAGATTTTCCCCATTTCTCCCCCCCCCCTTTTTTTTTTTCAATGTTTCCCTCTTTCTTAGGGCTCTCAACCTTAATATTTCAAATTTCTTTTTAGGAATTTGACTACTACAAGTATGCAGATTTTTTTCTTAACCGGACAACGGGAGACATCATACATTTGCAAATCTATATATTAAAATTTCGTTTGCGGTAATGTGCTTATGAACAGTCTATTTAGACCGTCAGTCATCATTATCTGTCGTTACTATCTTTTTATATTCTCAAATATGTGTATGCACATATCTCTGTAATGTAAGAAAAATGAAGAATATTCAGAAATAAAAAGGCCAAGGTTTGTCCTAGATTCATGAGATATTATCTAAGAAAATATCTAATCTAATATAACTACTTGTAATATTAAAATATATTAATTTTCTAGTGCCTTATAAGTAAGTATATTTGGTAATAATTCCTGATTATAGATACCTGAAACTTCAGAACCCTACTCCATTCTCTTTTGGAGTTAAGTAAAACTTACCTTATTGTTACTACTTACAAATTTTTTTATTTTTTAATTAATAATATAAAACAAACTTAGTTATTAATTTTAGCGACTTTTTAGCGACTTAAGTCAGTTAGGTAAAGATTAGTTTTCGTTAGTAAACTAATAATGTTTCACGTAAGTACAAATGGTGGTATTTTTTACCGAATGCATTGTTGCTTAAATTAGTATCTTAGAAAAATATAATTTTTATTTAACGTTAACTTTGTTGGTTAAGCATTTACAAAGAATAACGGCAGAACCAATTTCTCTTTTAGCCCTCTTATCCCCAACAGCATTCCCAAAAGCGACCTAAATAAGGTCGACCTACAACACATTCGAAAGAAGGGGAAATGATAAATACATACAGATTTCAGCCTTACACAAGGGTTGAAACCATATCGTTAGTTTTGGGCCAGCAATTAGCCTTTGAAACCTTCCAGCATGGAAAAAAGTAAAAACAAGATTATGTACAGTTTTAAAGCCTATTTAAATGAAAAATAATTCAACTGTTTAATTTTAGTTAAATTGCAAATGGATTGTGTAGGTCCAAAAAAAAAATAAAGAAAGAAAGAAAATATATCTGATTTTGTTTCTTAATTTTGGATAAAAATTGTATTTTCAGTTTTAAGGAAATAGAAGTATGTTACATTTTCGTTAACCTTTGTTAAAATAAAATAGGATAAAAAATATTCCAAGTATTTCAAACAAATAACATGTATTTCATAAATTTAGCATGAACAACATAATGCTTAGCGTAGATTTTAGCCAAGACTATCGATTTTGAAGGCTAACAAGTACAGGTCTCCCCTCATCAAGAGCAAAGAAATCTGCCCTTCTGCCTTGATCATGTATTTGATGTACAGAAGCGTATCCACAGAAATAACATGTATCTGATCCTCTCAATAAATATTATACATTTAATCTACAGAAGTGGATTTTGTAGAATTATTAGGTATTTATTGGAGCAGGCAATGAAAGCTGAGCAACGCCCTCGCCGAGACTCAAACTCCTTATTCAGGTTGCTTCAGGTGCTTTGCAATTACATCACAAAGGCACACATGAAGCAGCGAGAAAATACCCCACAAACTCAGCTATTGTACCTCAGTTTTCTGAATATGCGAATGGGTTGTAAACCAATTTAAGTAGAATATTTGAACAAAAGTTTGGCAAGGATCATTTTAATGTGGATACCAATCAATTTACTGATATAGTTGAGTGCAAATAAATGCAAAACCGAAAAGCATCAAAATGTTAAATAGTTATGTAGTAATTCATTCACATGAAATACTACGTAACTATTTTAGTGTCTCAAAAAGACCGCGAAGATCTAATTACATTGCTTTAATTACATTCAATCTAATTGCATTAAATATCTCTTCAGCTATTTATCTTTTCGAAATGTCAATTCGTTTTTAATTGGAGAACGTTAGGAATATTACGTCGATTTCAATGTACTCTTGAAGTAACATTTTAGCTTTAATATAGTTCTTTCGTAAGTAGGCATTTAAAATGTTTCTTTGATTAGTCCAAATAAAACACACAACTAAACTCTTTTACGCGTGTTTTGAAAAAATACATTATTCTTACTTTATGCGTTTAAACACGAAATTTTGTTCCAAAATTAAGGTTTTTCTAAAAACAATTAAAATCATTTATGACAAACTTGTATGAGCTGTTCAGGAGGTGCCCATTCAGCGCCAATATAGTGTGCAATATTATCTTCATCTGGGTTTATGGATTCAATACGGCAACCAGAAGAAGAAATTTCGATCCTGATTTTGATGAAGTTTCCGCTGAGAGATAAAATAACAGTGTCGCCTCCTATTATTTGCCATTTCTAAAAATATATATAAATAATATTAACCTTACCCAAAGTAAACAAAACATCCAAACTTTAAAGATGACATTTTCGTTACATATAAAATGTTTCAGGTTCCGAAAACTTAAACACAAATCTGATCTTGATGTTGTACGTAAATTTTGAACGGATAACAAAAGATTTGGTTGTATTTATTGTACTAATTTTGTTTTCTTAAATGTTGATCCTCGACTTATGCTTCTAACTAAAGTACGTTTCTTAAAATGAAACGAATAATTAATACAATCTCAATATTATAGGTGAAAAGAGTTTTGTAAAAATATTAAATGGATTCTCTAGAAGGAAATACGTTTATTTCTCTCTTCCCATAAAATTTGAATAACTGGTAATTTAAGTTAAGTAATTAGCAAATTTTCTACGGGTCAAAATAGAAAATTGCTACATAGTCATGTAAAAAATTCCCATAAATATTCAAATAATTTTTCATGGCTATTTCTAATTAGTTGAAGATTTCTCAGAACATATTTGAGAACAAGAATCAAATGTTTCTCGATATGGAAATTCCATCTTACGTAAAACAGCATTCGTTGTCAAATTTTGATTTGTTTCTTTGATGATGTATGTTAAGCGTATCTCAGAAAATGTTGCTCATAAAGAGCTTCTTATATATTACTAAGTAAGGCGTAATTAATACTTTCTAAATTTTACTCTTGTGACATCATAAAGTTTTATTATTTTTCCTGCAGTCTGTCACACAGTAGTACTGAGACTGTTTTCATGAAACTGAGTACCTAATTTTTTTTTAAATTTAAAGAACTTTGTAACTGTAAAAACAGAAATAGGGTCACTGTTCGCTAGGCAATAGACAAAATAGCGCTGTGTATCTCTGGAGTTATACAATAATTCTATTTAAGACTAAGAATATAGAATTCTACAACTAGTGGTTCAGTGATAATTCTATATTCAAAAATAGCCAGTCTAGTTTAAAAATGAATTTATTTGAATATCAGAAATTCTGTAATCCATTCTAGCATCTCATCGGCAGCATTCAAGCTGCATGAAAACAATTCGAAAAACAAATGATCAAGTTCAGACTATTGCCACTCAGAAGCAGAGACAAGGGTCTATTCAAACTGGAACAATCACATTTAAAGGAAAACATCACCTGTAACTTTTATAATACCTTCTATGACTGAGCATAAACTGCACATAATATACATTTTAACACCATCTTAAGCAAAACATTAAAATATTCATTATATTAACAGTATGTTTTCGGGGGAACTATGTTTGTAGAACTGCAAACAAGTTAAAAATGTAGGAAACCAAAAATCAAAACCTTGGATATACTTTTTTGTATGAATCAAATTATATATAATTTAATAAAATAACCATTAAAATTGATATATTTATTCTAATATACACCTCATTTATTTATTTATAAATGCATTGTTTTTTACATTTAAGTTATTACGCATCTAATCCATATATTTATTTTTATTACTACGAAGGCTTGACTCTGAAAGTTGTTTAAAATCAGTGTTTGACATGCAAACGTATAAGTACCGTTTAAAGGAAATAGCATGTTAATGTATATAAAAGCGATGTAATAATTTTAATTTAAGAAGTTCCAAGTAATTTTTAACCAGCATAAAAACACCAGAAGCAGCGTTTGAATAGTAAAACAAATATGCGGCTAGTCATTAAACGAAAAGCGGCGTGACTGAAATAATACAATTTCTGTTCTACTAGTAAATGTTAGAAACAACTTTTCTGTGCCTACTCTATATCATTCTTTAATTAAGGCTCGATTTTTTTAATTTTTCATTGCTGTTATTTTTTATCACAGCGCGTGTTCGCATTAACTTTTTTATTGAGAGAAAGAGGATATAATTTTTGGAAAGAAGGAAATTCACAATAAAACATGTTGCCTATAAAATCGTACTCAAACGCTTGGTAGTTTTCGAGTACAGAAAATATTTTTAAAAGAGAGATATATAAATTATTCCAGAATGATTATATAAAAAAATTATAACTTGCATACTTTATACAAAACACTCATCGATGGATTCTAAATTAAATTTCAAATGGACCTTTTCCTTAATCACTGTATTTCTTACTATTTAATTACTTAGCACTATCTAATGACCATCTAATTTCTTAGCAAAATCTTAATGGTAAAATCAAAACATTAAGGGGTTGTACATTGTTCAAATGTTAAAATAGACTCCTTTCTTCAGATTGGTTTTAGTTAAATGAAGAACTAAGACAGTGTCGAAAAAATGACGGTGATGAAAATTGTTAGAAAAGTACTCAGCTGTGTAAGAAAGAAGAGTAAGGTTAGCATGAGTTAACGTAAAATCGTGAACAAATTTTATATTTTTATCTGGCTAAAATTTTATTTTAACCTCTTTTTCATGTCTTTCAGCTTATTTTGAAATCCATTTTTACCTTTTCTCTAAATAGAAGGCGGCGCTCTTTAGATGCATATCGTGACAGTGTTATATTTCGTATTGAAATAGAATTTTTCAGAATTTTCGAATAAAAATCACTCAAAGGCCTAGTCTTACAAACTGCAACGAAACAAAGTGTTAAAGAAAACAAAATAATCACCATGTAAAATTTTGATTTAAATTTGTTCTGCATTTTGAACTGTAGTTTGTAAATTTGTGTAATGTATAAATTAGATCCGACAATCTAAGTTATAGCAGTTACTAAAAGTGAATATTATAGCTGACTGCTAAATTCGAGTTAAGAAACAGCGTATACTTTTTGCCACTCTTTGAGTTTATTGTATTTCAAAACGACTATTAAGGTTAATTAATAATAAGACCATAGTTAGAAGTTTTATTAATAACTAGCTGTACCCGCCCGGCGTTGCCCGTGCATTTAAAAATTGCAGATAAGTGAATAGCGCAGGAATAGTAGTGTAGGACATGTAGACTGTCTCTCTCTCTTCCCCCCCCACAAGCTACAAAAAAGAAATGAATTGTAATTAATCGATTTAATGTATCGTCAAAACAGCAAACTAACGCTAGAATAAAGAAATCAATTGTTACAATCGAACGTTATTTGAAAACAAATAATAATATCAGTGAGTCCAAAAAACCGTGATTAATTAATTATAAATAATTTTTTTTAAATTTTTCTAATTCAAAAATCGAAAATCGGGCTTCGAGGTCTGGTCGCCAGCCCCTTTGTGCTTCCGTATAAAAAATCCAGGTCCCTGCGTGCGATAGATTTGGCTGGAGAGCTCGGTCAGACAGACAGACAGACAGATAATTAATTATAAATAATTTTTTTTAAATTTTTCTAATTCAAAAATCGAAAATCGGGCTTCGAGGTCTGGTCGCCAGCCCCTTTGTGCTTCCGTATAAAAAATTCCAGGTCCCTGCGTGCGATAGATTTGGCTGGAGAGCTCGGTCAGACAGACAGACAGACACATTACACTTGCTTTTATTATTATAGATGAAAAACCAGTTTATAGCTCTAAATTAATATTCCCTTCAAAAACAAAATATTCACAGGGTGTAGAATTCCCTATTTATTAAATTTACATTTACAAAAATGAAATTTATTATAAAAGTAAATTTTTTACTGGTAGTTTATTATAAAAATGCAATAACTTTTTATTACATTATCGCCGCTGAATTTCTACAATTCAGAAATGAATTTTGGATCTTCAGTCCATGTGTAGCTTCCACACAATTAACCAAGATAATCTTGCTTTTACATCATCTTTAAAAGAAGCACTTGTTTTGTTTTCCAAGGAGAATTTATTTTCTGCGCGTAAGTTTAATTTGTAAGGATCTTTGCGTATCATTTGAGAACTGATATTAGGTAAATACGAGCATAATGAGACACCTCAGGTTACATGAAGAACAAAATCTCAAGCAATCAATCAGGAATCGAATAAAAAAACGAACAGAACATAGTCATTAAGGAACGGGAATGGGTTGTAGCTTGATAGTGAAAACACCATGTAAGGTAATGCCGGAGAAACACAAGGAGTTATCGCATAGTGATATTTAATCGGACAAAATATCGTATCAGGCTTGCAATAACAAACTTTTTCTACTGAAGAAAATAAATCCATGGAATCAATAGTTCATTCAAATTTTATTCCAGAGCATATCATTAAAAATCGATCGAAAACATTTACTTATGGCGAATCCCTTAAAGACTGTTTGATTAAGTCTATTGAACTTCTTTGTCCTTACAAACAACAATTATTTATAAGCATAATTTGCAAGCTAGAACGGTTGCAGAACATGTTAACAAAATCTTTAGCAGTTTAAGCTATCAGTTGAAAAGAAAAAATATATGCTTTATTATATTTTCAGTTGCATTTAGCGAAACTCTGCTAATGGGGTACTTTCTGCTCTTTCCGTATGAGCTGTTGCTGAGGAATTTGAAGCAACCGAAAAAATACTAGAAACAACTGTTATAAAAGAATACGCCGGTACATAGGGTACTTTCTCTGAAATCAAAAAACTGTAATAGATAAGTTTAAATTAATTTCGAATAGTTTTGAAATAAATAACAGCTTGAAAACTTAATATTTTGCTGACAAGTCATCTAAATTACAAATTGTAACAAACAGAAATTTCTTGCGTGTATCAACACTAATATTTCTGATGTAAAATAAATTTGAATTTTTAACTTTCTCTTATTGTTACTATTATTGTTTATATATTCTTTAATAGTTATTTATTAAGTAAAATTTAAAAAATTTAGTTTAAAATGTTTGTACTTTATTGAAAACATTTCATTTTGCTAAAAAATAAATTCAAGTCCATGAGCTACATTCAGACCGCATGCAGTTTGATCAATATCACTGACTATTCTAAGCTCTGACCTGACAGGATTATTAACAATGAAGAGCAAGACTAGCATTTTTCGACAAAAAAGACTAGCATTGTTCGACAATTTTGTGTTCTTACCATTTTTTCTCCGATTTTCAAAAACAAGTAAAATCAGTTCCAACACTGTTCAGCGCCTCGAAAGACGACTGATTTCTTCTATTGGTCAAAACGTGTCTGGTATATAAAGTTTCTTTTTTAATAGGTCTACCTTAGATTTACATTTCCAAGCCACACGAAGGATTAAAGCTTACGGATTAACAGCTCAAACGTGAGCAGCGAATTTTTAAAAAGCGTAGTATTTATCATATCTGATATAAATGACATTAAATATGATAAAATTCATTTATAATCCTTTCTGATTTAACATAATAATGTGTTTTGCAATCAGTTTTGTTTGGTATTACTTCATTGCATATTAAATCTATAAATAAAAGTTCTCAATAATAAGATAACCGTTGCACAGTTTTGTAATTAGCCTTTTTCTTACATCTCGTTTCGCTGAAGAGTTGCGTTTGGATACTTTTTCTTGTTATCTGTTACAAGATTTTTCAGGCATGTCCGCTTTGTGATAGATAAACATGACAGATATTGCCTACGACTGTTCATTCCGAAATAAATGGGTTACTTAATCAATTTATCTTTTGACCCTAGAACAATAAATTATCTAGAAGTTGCACTTAAATCGAGCCCTAAATCTAGTCAGGCCCTTGTGACCCTATAAGCTGCAGTAAAATCCAGAGATAATTCGTAGAGATACATCGTAACAATAAACTCTTTTTACGAGTCAATAAATGGTAAGACTTGTAAATATACATATACGCTCTGTTTGCTTCAAAGACATTATAAATGTATTAGTAAGTGATACTTTATATCATGAATTTTTACCAAAATCTTAAAATCATAAAGACCATGAAAATAAATAATGAAATAATATTTTTTAAATAATAACAGGAAGAAATTAAAAAGTAGATTTTTGACAGTTTACCCAAATATTCATTGGTATAAAAATGATCCACCTTTATAGGTCTACATTGAATTTCTGATAATGCTTCGCATTAACTTCATTATTTACTTTTTAATGCCTTATCCCTTATTCTTTACTGTATCAACGTTCATAAATAATGCCTTGAGTAATTAAAATTAAAATTTTGCTTGAACGCATGTTTTTAAGAACAAATATCTTTTTTCAAAATTTGAAATCAAACAGAAAAATACAACCCGTAAATTAATGTGCTAAAATTGAATTCATTGCATGTATTAAAATGCAGCAGAATGGAGTTAAACCAAAGATTTTTATTCTGAAATGAAATTTTTATTGCATATGCAGAAAACCCGTGGATAAAAACTCATCTCATATGAAATAAGAATTCAAATTATAGATGAATATATTTGAAAATTGCTGGAATAAGCCATTTATTTAACATAATCTTGTGCTTCAACTGTAAAATAATGAAATAACATTTTTAAAAATAATAAGAAGAAATGTTTGTACTTTATTGTAAAGTTAGCTAACACTTTTGTAATCATAGTATTTAAATTTTCTAATTTAGTTTAATAACCTTCTGAGAAATAAAAGCTATGCATCACCTTATATGGAAAGTTGGAATATCTCTTCTGAAGCATCGCAAACATTCCAAACTTATTCGTTCTGAAGGAAATTTGGTGATTATCTGGGAAATAAATTAAATAAATTATCTGTTGAACAGAAGTTTTGATATTTCTTATTCAATAATACACATCATATTGAAAAACACAAAAACATCACAAGCACTCTTTGCAAGATATTTGAACTACAGATGTTTTTAGGTTTCATCAGTATTTAACAAACTATTTTTATTAATCATTTCTAAATAAACTTTAACAGGAGAAAATATACCTTTTTACATTACTACTTATAATTGGGAAAGAATGAAAAACAGCTGAAAACGTAATCAAAATTGTATGCATTCAATTCGTGATCTTTCCTCCAAAACAATTTAAACTATGGAATTTGAAATTTAAGTTTATAATATGTTATTTCAAGTAATCAGGCAACTTTTTTCCGTAAATCAGATTGGTCCCACATATGCATTAATTCCTATTTAATAATTATTTATGTCGTCTTAAAACATATAACAATATTTTAATTCGATAATACTTTGAAGTTATATTACCTGTCCTTGTTTTATGATTATTTATAGCCACTTCCTGAGTCCTAGTTCACAGTCCTGAAGCAACCTCACAAAATGAGTAACTGACCATTTGAATCTAGGTGCATCATTTCACTTTAGAGCTCAGTGGCTAGTTTGCGCTTGGAATGGCGACAAATCTACCAGAGGCTATCTTTGTTCTCAAATTCTGAAGAGATAGTGCTGACAGTTTCAAGACTGCAATCTGTGTAAAGGAAAAAGTCCCAGAAGGCTGTGCGTTTCGGAAGAACAAATGGAGAAAATACAAAGAAACTTTCCCGCGAAATGCACAGAACTACAAAAATCAAACTGAGCTATAACTTGCAAGGTATTCCTCCTTTATGCATGCCTTCGCGATGCAATTGGAAGTATCCTCCTTGCGTATTCGAGAGGTCAAGTGTTCGAGTCCCGGCGAGAGCATAGCACATTTTTCACGTCTCCTGCACCAAAAAAATCTAATGATTCTACCAGCTTACTATCCTTAACTTAGTTTACATTTAACCCTCAAACAGCCTTTTGCGGCTCTAGAGAATTGATGCCTCGACATAAATGTAGGGCACAGGGCAAATGCCTATTTACCTCTGTTAGCAACCCAGGCGCCTCTGTCCTCCGCCACTTGTCATTCGCTCTTTTTCAGTGCATCTAAATACCTGTATAACAGGAAATGAAACTACGTTGTCAGTCGAACACTCTTTGCCTAGTATAGCCATTGACACTCTTTGCCTAGTATAGCCATTGACACTCTTTGCCTGGTTAGAAGTCTGAATTCTTTAGCTGGATGGAACTGTTTTATTCTTTTTCAACGAAATTTAACAATTATTCACAGTAAACGGACAGAATAAATAGTAAATGTAACTGAATTTTGCAGTTTCTGTCTTACAAACTTAGCATTATTATAATTGTAAAGACATGTTACTAACCGCACTTTCATACGTAAGATTTTTAAAAACGTTAAGTTAGATATCGAAAAGCAAAAAGGAAATCTTCAACATCTGCTTATCAATTTGTTTTCTCAACAAGAGCAATTCGTAACGGCACTTCATTTTTGTTCATTAAGCAACATTTCATAGTGTCGTCTGATAACAGCAAAATATATTTTGGGGTTCGTGCTCCAAAATCCTTCATGAGAGATATACGATTCATTTGAAATATATTTTTAATTTAGTTTTTTATTAGGAAACTACTAATTTTATATTCTTGCAATAGTTAGTTACAATTCTTAACAAGCTATCTTATATAAAGAAAAACTGTAACTATATCAGATGTATTTTCAGTCTTGAAGCCTACAGCGTCAGTGATAAAATTAAGGCAGAACGAACAAGAAAGTCCATTTATTCTGCAAAAAAAAGATCTTTTGATAATTAAGACACAATAACACGCCGAATAAATACCAATTCAGAAGTCAAACAACAAAAATCAGCGTTATATTTACAAAATTTTGACTGTGAAAAATTTTGTAAAATTTTGTAAATATAACGCTGATTTTTGTTGTTTGACTTCTGAATTGATCTTTTGATAAAAAAAACTTTCCAAAGAGATCTCGATTGGTTGTGTGTTACGCATTAAGAATCATGAGCATTAGGTGATGGGTTTCGTTTATTAACTCCCAAAAATAAATAACCAATAGTTTACAGTTTCATCTGGTCGGTTTATACCGTTACTTATCGGTAGAAGGAAACACAGGACCTTGCTTATCAACACGTCCTTTATCGGCTATACAGAGCGTATCGATAATGGAGTGGATTTCCTTGTGAAGTGTTAAATGATCAGATGGTTGATAACTTCCTAGAGGTTGTTTGAACATTCATCGAGTGACAGTTATTCAATCTCGGCTTTGTTAGCTTTTCTAAGTTATTAGCTCAAGTAGCCCTAACGCAAATTTTACTATGGGGCTCATGGTGTTGTTTACAATGAACGGCAATACGTATCTGAAGTTTAATGTAAAACTATATAGATTAAATCACGTTGCTAAAATTATTTATCTTTAATGTTCTAATTAATATTAATATTTAATTCATCAAAACACACTTCAAGCAAAGATTTAATAATTTCAATTAGTAAGATTTTATTACTTATAATTTTGTGCATTATTTTAGATTCGTTTACTAATAGAGCAAAGTATAGGTTATATAAAAGTATAGGTTATATAAAAAATTACATAAACAAACACAATTGTAGAAAACATTTGAACTCTAAACAATTGTTAGTTTTCTATAGCTGTATTCGTTTTAAAGACAAAAAGAATTAACTCATAAAACTGCTGATTTCTACAAATGTATTTCATAGACTGGAATGCAAATAAACGTCTTATTTAAAAGCCAAGTAAATTTTGCATTTTAATCCACTATATATTAAGTTATGAATAGAAAGATAATCAAAATGATAATATTTCAAGAAATTCTTATCCTGCTTGTTTTGCATTATATTTCTGTTACGAATATCATGTTAATTGTTTTCTAAGTTTCTAGAATTATGGTGTCTTTGGCCTAAAAGTGAGACACCATGTGAGACAGCTGAGCTTCATCAGTTAAAGAATATATAAGGTTCTAAATAAATCTTAATAAATTTAGAGATGTTAGAGAGAATATTAATAAAATGAGAAATTAATTACCTTTATTGTAAACTGGCTCGTAAATATTGCTTGCAGAGAAAGCATTCAAGTCAGAATAGAAATAGGCTGGAATAGGTTCTTCTAAGAATGTAACGTATTTAGGTAATCTGTGAGCAAAGCATTGTTAAGAGATAATTATAATTTCATAATAGTGTTTTGCTTAGTAGTGAAATGATAAACTAATGTGTTAAACAAATCATAAATTTTGCAATTATTCACGATGTGGTCTTAGGTTATTCCTAAGAAAATATACGTCATATATATTATTCAAAAACATTATGAAATGCATCGTGTTAAAATTTCAAAGTGCAAAATAAACAATATTATCAATCGGAAAGCGTAAAACTATCAGTCATTATTTCTACATTAAACAAAGACTCCAAGTGAATACCCGAAAACGGTACACTGTTTCTGATGCTTCTAAAATTAAGATTCACTACTTAAAATGATTTACAACGCTTAAGCTGTAAATCTTTTTAAGCTAAAAAACGTAACTTTCACCAGATTTTTCTAGGGCGTGTGGCTCAAAGCAGAACACTTTGTAGAACCCTGTATGAAAACTATTTAGCAGGAGATAAATGGAAATACATTGTGACTCTTGATGAAGCATGGGTTTACCTAAATGATTACAACAAAATGGTATATCTGTTACCGAAAACGAAAAGAAAAAATGTACAAATCTGGTTCAGTCAATGCAAAAAAAAATTCACTAAGGGGTTTATGATTGTCGCAGGATTCTCTTTCAACGCTAAATTAAAAATAAAAAAGTGAAACAAGTGTTAAATCAACTCTACGTACTATCGAGAGAAAGTTTTACGTCCGATATGTACAGAAGAAATTCCATTTATTTATCCCAATGACTTTCAGAGAGTGAAATGTCATCAAGACAAAGCAACAAGTTATACTTGAAAATTGCGACTACATTGCTTGAGGAAATGAAGATTGTTACAGGTATAGCTATACATTTTCCACGTATTCCTGTTACGTTCCCTGACGTTTCACCCATGGCCTATTGAGGCTTTGGTCTGTTGAAAAGAACTCTGTCTAATTGCATACCCACATCGACTAATAGTCTCTGCAAAATATTGCAAGAGGCATGGAAATTTTACAAAATGCCTTTCTATCATGGAAATCGCGATGCATCTATTTCTGCATTGTGTTACAGTCCGGAATTATCGACTTATAGTGCGGAAAAAGGCTATCAGATCTAACACTCTAAAATGTGTAAACACTCCCTGTAGTGGTCTGTTTCTTCTTGAAAATGTAGTATCCATCGTCCTCTGTGACGCACCTTAGATAACATTCTTGGGAAAGAAATGGCTAAAATGACTGGGAGGATTGCCCGTTGCTGACGAATGCTTAACAAATTAGTTTTTAGAAAACAAATTGTTATTAGTTAGCAAAAAAATTGAATGAACTTGTTATTCAGTTTCCTTTGTATGTAATCTCAAAGAATGTCATTTGCCCACCAGTACCCGAGTGGTAAGACAGCTAAATATCGGTAGTTCAATCCAAGCTCATATTTCTGCAAGCGAGCTAGTTTCAATAGGCTAGTTTAATGATTTGTCTATGTGTATCGAAAAACGTGCCAATAGTTTCCTTGTGATAATCCTCCATGAAATCATTCCTGTCCTTAAGAAGATAATCCTTGTACCCTTTACCATAATGTTTAGTCAAAAGCAGTAACATAAAGATATAAATTCCACAACATGTTTACATTTTGCATATAATTTTAAATACACTTCCATTCATCTCAGTTTAAAAACCATTAAAACAAGTGTCTGAATCTACCATACCAAGATCGTCCGCTTTTTAGCTCCCAGAATATTGACAGAATTTTACATCTTATACCAATATAAACAGACATTATTTTGAATTGGTTTTTCTGTGACTGAAATCATTACCGTTCTTGACCTTTATTGATTACATTCCCGATAATTTTTTTCTGAATCCTCTCCATTCTGTAAGGAACCCGTTTTGATTCGCCTTTCTTTTCATTTCAATGTTTTACTATACGCTTATCTTGATTGTTGGGATACGTTGACATAACTTCTTTAATTCCGTAATGTATCAGAAGACGCTTTTCGCTACTTTGCATACAAATTCATTTGCTTTACCTAGCGTAACTGCTTTAGTTCGTTAAATTGTTCTCAATATAAGTAGGACTTTTATTTATCTTTTAAAGATTTGGAACAAACTTTTAATGACTTGCTATGCATTTAAACGCCCACTGATCATTTCAAGCCTGGCTCACAAATATGTTTCATTATGAGCTAAGATTCAAATAATATTGGATTTTGCAACTAGTAATATTTCATTATGAAACTTAACCTAAGTGATTGCAACTGATTCAGGTCCCGATTGCCTCTTTAATATAAACTGAGAGCTTTTGATCAGAAAAGGAGATTTTCATAATTCGTACTACTGAGATTGTTGTCTCTCAAATTACAGTTCTGAGTAAAAGACAGTAACAGGAAATTATCATGTTCAGTGAAGTATTTATCGATTAAATTACAAATTTTCACAAGTCTGTGATACATTGGTTTATTCTGTATCATTACTTATTCCAATTCGAAAGAAACTTTGTTTCGAATTACGAGAAATTTGACTAATAGCTGATTTCATCATACTCTGGGAATAATTTAAGCATGAAATTACATTTTAGTAGCTTATTTTACCATGTGAGAATAATTAAAACACCCTTTGCTCCTTGAATTAACACCGGCTGCTAAAAGTAAGATCTCACGAAGATAATCGAAACATCGTATTTGTTAGACGATAGGAGCATTATCCAATTAAAGTAAACACATATTCCTTAACGTTTACATTCTTTAATTTCTAAAGGATTAATTTCTTTTTAATAAATAATTTACTTGTAAAGTTGCAACATTCTTCAAAAGCACGCAAAGAAATTATCAAGCATTTCTAATAACATTCCAAGCACAGCATTGCGGCTATCATTAGTGACACTCACCACTGACACGATCTCTGGATCCTATGCAGAATTGCTCCTTACCAATTTAACGTAAATGTTTGTAACTGGATCTGACTCATGCCATCAGTATTTGATTACATTTACATTAATATGATTTCTCACATGATCTATCAAACAGCCTTGATTTAGATAATATATCCGTATTACTTTTAGTACTACTTACATAATTTTAGTGCTTAATCAATATAAATATAATTAGCAATTAAATTATCAATAATTACTAATTATTTATTACAATCAGTAATAATTTCTTATTATAAATAAAAAACTGTTAATTATAATACATAATTAGTTCTACTTACATACTTTTAGTACTACATAATCTTGAGTTCATTGATTCGAGTACCCTGTTTTCAGAAGTTAACTGGGTAAGACTTATCCAATCCGACTAAGGCCAAAGTGGTGTGTATAAAAAATGGGTGAAGTTGTGATGTTCAAGCAAAAATTATGAGAAACTGTCTACAGATTACAAATACACAGTGTAGAATAAACGGTGAGTAGATTCAATTCCAAGAGTTTTTTTTTTTCCCCAAAATAAAAAAATTAGAGGATTTAAGTAACTATGAAATTGAGAAAGAAACATTTAATTAAATAAACTATCTAAAGAATACGGCAAAACTAATAAATAATAAGAGTACCAAAATCAATATACAAGGCAAAAAATATTTGCAACTTAGCAAAACCGAACTCTTGAAGCAAAGAGAATTCCAAATCAAAGAAACTTCAAATCTGTTCCCAGAACCTAGAATTAAATTTAGGAGAGGAATGTCGGAGATTCATCTCATAGATAACTATGAGCAGTTACAGTGCTAGAGAGATCTTACGATAATATCAAATTACTCTGAGGTTTGTCTATATCACCTTTCAAAGTTACTGGATCTCTGATTAATTTGAAGTCTTTTGAATAATTATTCAGCATTCCTCTCTATGAAGGTGCAGGAAGTCTGAGTACGCTTACAGTATCTAATCGCTTGGAAACGATAACAGAGAATACTGTCTAAAGATCTGTCTAAAAGTACTTAAAGGATGATATATGCTTTGATACTATACATTAAAAGTCTTCTAGATTGTTGCTCAGACTCATGTTTAAGTTCCATTTTGCATTGAAATGTAGAAAGTCATTCCAGATAAAGTTGTTTTCAGAGCATTCCTTACATGAATATGTTCTTTCTATGTGTATAAATACATAATGGAATTCTAGAAAATATGTAAAGTACTATGATTTTGGCAATAATGTCTTCTCACAGATACTGAAAGAAAGAGTATATGAAAAAAGGCAGTTAACTGAATGCCTTTAAATATTATCTAACAATTATTTCTGTAAAAATGTAAATGAAAACTGTAAAATGTATTACAAAACTCGCCATTTTTATTTAAAGAAAATTATTCATTTATAATTTATATTAATTTATAAAATTTATTAAATTCCGTTCAAAAGATAAGTATTATTTAATGGTTTTAATAAAAGATAAGTTTAATGGTTTAAAGATAAGTACTTGCTTTCAAATATCATCCAAAATGCATCGACGCGTAAATTTTAGTGAATGGCATCAAACTTTCAACCTAAAACCCATAACTGCAATAAAATGTGCATATATTAACAAGTTCTTATAGAAAGATACATTTAAAGAAATGCTCTTTCGTACCCTCTTTACAAACTTTAACTATTCTGGATTACATTTTATTAGTATTGCTCTTGTGAGATCTTTGATTTGTAGCCAAAAATCCACCAGAATTTTAAATTGATATAGCTGACGTGCTGAACCAGGAAATGAAAGTTTTTCTCCGAAAGAAACAGCTCTGTTCCGAATAATACTAGTAAACTCCTTTACAGGAATAGTAACTCACAGAAATGGAGATCATTTGAAAGAACTTCATTTCTACTACTACGAAAACGTTGTGCGATCATGGACAAGTTTTAACACTTTCAAGGCACGTTGAACACTTTCAGTTAAGTTATTTCTCAGATCCTATAACAATTCAGCTGCAACTTTATTACTAGAATTCCGCCCACTTTTCTTCTGTTAACACGGATTTCGGCAATTTAGATTCTCGTCACTCGAGCATTCTCAAAACTTTTCTATGATATCTTAAATGATACTTTTTATAGGA